CTCATCGCCGACTGCATCTCATCTGAGCATCTGAACAATTACTTTGTGCATCTCAACTTTGAACATCTGAACAATTACTCTCAAGCGACTGATGATTCTCGTGGATCAAGTAGCATCATGGACTGTTGTTTTCACAAAAACTTTAACCTGTACATGTATTGACACATCAAACCTCTTTGACCTTTCAAGCATCTCATTGTCATTTTTGAGGATGATGAGTTTCTATATAGGTTTTTTTTCGAAAGTTATTTTAATTGTCTTTCTGCAGGTATGGTTTCTATATCATTTTAGAGTTTTGGTGATTTCCTTGTATATTTCCTGTTTAGATGTTGACGAGCGGACCCACACTTTTTAAATATAAAGAAAATTGAATACGGTTGTTTATGGACAATTTGTGATCAGTTTGTGATCAATTTTTGTGATCAGTTTCATGTTTGTGATCATTTTTATGTTGTGTTAAGTGGTGTTGAATTTGTTAAAATTTAAGCCTGTTCGCAAGCCTAAATTCAAATTTTTTGATCAAGCTTCATACGAGCTTGAGCTTGGATTCGAGCTTGCTAACAGAAAACGAGCTTAATCAAACCAAGCTTGAGCTTTTCATTTTTCATTCAGGCCGAGCTCGGGCCAAAAATAAAGCTTGATGTTCGAGCTCAAGCCGAGCTTGAACAGCTTCCCAAAATGTCAAGCTGAGCTTGAGCATGGAGATGCTCGTCGAGTTAGGCTTGATTATCACCCCTAATTAGAAGTAGAGGGTATGCGTAAATTAATATTGAACAAAATAATGAGAAAAGATATAAAAATATTTTACTTAAAGAAGCGTATAGCACATGATCGAAATGAATGGTGAAGACAAAGTCATATAGTCGACCCCAAATGATTGGGACATAAGACTTGGTTTGGTTTTGATTGGTTATGTCTGATATTTATTTGCTTGTTGGGTTTGGTTTGGTTTGGTTTGGTTATGTCTGATATTTATTTGCCTGTAGGGGATTATGTATTGGTTTTTGATGCAAATAGAGGAGAGCTTATACCATTGAGTTGCGAACAAGCAGAAATTTGAGGCCAATTGATGCAAACAGGTGCAGGAAATTAGGTCTTTCAATAGAAAGTGAAGTACTGGAAATCTCTAACCAGCAGACCTAAACCCCCAACATCACACAGCTGCTACAATCAATTTTTTAGTCCCAATAATACTGTTTAGTGAACAATTCATCAAGGATATGACATGTTCCATGAGTGGCCAACACATAGACAATGTCACAAGGATCAAACAATTGCTCAGATCTTGAGAAAAAACTGATTCTGGAATTTTTTTGAGCTGGACTGTAAGCAGGAACTAAGAGAAAACAAGGTCGGGTAGCCTCTCATGCCTATCAGTGCATTGCAAGCTCATTTGGTCTTCCATGAGCTATCAGAGACCATTACATAGTGGCCAACAAGGATATGACATGTTCCATGAGCGGCAAACACATAGATAAAGTCACAAGGATCAAGCACCTTGCTCAGATCTTGAGGAAAAACTGATTCTGGAATTTTTTTGAGCTGGACCATAAGCAGGAACTAAGAGAAAACAAGGTCTTGGTGGCCTCTCATGCCTATCAGTGCATTGCAAGCTCATTTGGTCTTCCCTGAGCTATCGGAGACCATTTACATAGTGGCCAACCTTTTGGCTCTTGGTTTCAGCAAGTTCACACTGCCTTAGTTTTTGCCCCCGTTGAAACAGTTTTCTCAAAGCAAGAATGAGCTTTTAGCGTCTTGTGTACCTTGTACCAACTTCTTTCCTTTCATTTTTCCCTACTTGTCATGCTTTTGATAGCTTTTCCAATATAGGCTAACTTCGGTGTTAAAACCTGATGTGACAAAAAAGTTTACTCAACCTGATTTTATCCAAATCACCAAAAGGCACATTTAGGTATTACTCCTATGCGTTTATATATGGTTGGCATCAGTTTTTGTGCAGGACTTGGATCAGTTCCTTAAGTGAGTTTCGGGTGAGTACACTGAAATATCAAAGAATCACATTGTAATGTCAAAACAATAACGTACTAGTGTGCCATTCCTGGCAAAAAAGTATTGTTCAAGTTACACTCAGGAAACTAGAGATGAATTATGCGTTTGAAATTCGTACTATTCCCCTGCTATATTAAGTTCCACTTGTAATCCACTATGTTTTACCATTGAAAGATATGAGATGTCTTCAGATGGACAGATTTTGCATATGTAGCATGGATTTAAAATATTGCTTTATTCCTCGTCTCACTTCAAGATTTTGAAGTTAGCTACATCAAAAAAAAAAAAACATGAATACACGTCTTTCATTATTAGCTATTTAGCCATGGTAATTGCCCACAAGTAATTCTACAGATAAATGGATTCATAATTACTTTTTTCTGTGTTTTGTTGTTGATTCTTTTTAATCTCACAATCGCCATATGTTAGATGCAGACGCTGTTGATTAAATGCATACATGAACAAAAATTCTAAATCTTTAGTCATATCACTGACTATCAGGGACAATACACATCACTTGTTACTGAAAACTCAGCTCTATCCAACTTCACGTGTACTATCTTTAATGCTAGACTGCTAATGATCTTAAGGAGATTCTTCTTCCCAGCATTACAACCCTTTCCTTTTTTGGATCATTCATGTTCTTTGGTACATAATTTACCCTCCCTCATGTCATTTTACCTAATATTTGTAGCATTTTGACTTTTAGATAGTGTTTGATTGACGGGTATCAGTTTTTGGGCTCTAGATTTTGCATTCAACGAAGTAAAAATGTAAGATCCATTTGTATCAAAGACTAATCTCTAATGCTATTTCCATTCCTTAAGCTACATCTGGCAACCATCTAGGGACTTGATTCTAACTGGGAATGCTGTTACCTGAACAAAGGGTATGAATTTTGGGGTAAATATTGGTAAATTCAAGGAGACTTTGGGAAACTTCAGAAGAACCTTTTAGGAAACTTTGGAATCACATGTGCAAATTTTTGGAAATTTCCAGAAAGTTTCCAGACATCCATTTCTTTGCACTTTAGAAAACTTTAGGAATTCATCATCATTTTATTTTTTTTAATTGTGCTTGCTACCTTAGTTGCATTATTATGTTTCATACACAAACCACATTTTCTCATAACTCTAGGTTTTGTTCTGACTCAGCATTTCCCCACTTCTTTTATGGAGATTTTTTCTTCTGCCGCCATTCTGAATCAATGGTATTGTTATAGACTTACATTATAATTTATAAGATTCTAGGGTTTGCAAAACAAGAGATTTTAGGGAAGGGGGGAGAGAAACAGAGAAAAATACTCTATGATAACTAGAAGCATGTATGAAAACTCAGTTACAAAGAAGAGATAGAGGTAAAGAGGAGAATACTGCTGCTACATTCCAATATTCCATAATAGAGAGAACGATTAAACCCTACAAGAGAAGGAGAATATAAAACCCTAAATTAAAAGAAAGTCTATACTACCCCTAATAAAATAGGATAATGTAAAATCTTAACAATGTATGCACAAGGGGTTATATAAAATGCAAAAGTATCCCTAAACACAAATAACATGTCATAACATTACAACGTGGATTTTGTTCTAACATTGTTGGGATAGTGTAGGAGAAGTTCATTATTGTTTAAATGCTTCTCTGGAAGTTTTACTCTGGTTAAATTTTTGTATAGAATGACTATCAAAATGTTTTATTTTGGAAGTCCCTCAAATCATGTCGATGTAATATGATATCTTTGGACAGTGCTATCTAGTTGCATCGAGATACTAATATATCAGGGCATAAAGTTAGTTTGCTTGTCCCTATGTAAGGCATGCATGGATCCAATGTTTTTCTTGAAGTGTGACATTTGTATATGCAGGGCATTTAAGTTTACTCTCAGTGAAAAAATGAAGTGTGAATTATTTGTCTCTCTTCAGGACATAGTGTTCTACATTTTCACATATACTCAACTCAACAAAGCCTTGTCCCAATATTGTTGGAGTCAGCTATATAAACCCTATTTTGTCATTGTGCTCTATTTAGGGAATGTTTTCTCTTGAAACATAAGATATCGTATCTTTCATTAGTATTTTATTTATAGATAATTTTGGCCCTCCTCTACTCTTACGCTTACCATCAATAGCTATCATATCAATCTTTTTCAATGGTGCCGTAATAAATTGTTTGTAAATAGGTCCAAACCATTTAAGTTGATTCTCCCTTAGTTTATTTTTAGTTCTACTTTTTTAGGGATATATTCGTTGTCAATCTGTCCTTACTAGTTTTACCACAAATCCACCTTAACATTTTGATTTATGATACTCAGTGTTTGAAGGTGCTGTTTCCTAGTTGCCCAACCCTCACTACTATCAAACAGAGCGGGTCTTATGGCCGTTTTATGGAACTTTCTTTTAAGCTTAAGGGGTATGCGTTTATCAAACAATACACCAGATTCATTCCTCCATTTAGTCCATCCTGCATTAGTTCTATGGATAGCATCGTTGCCAATCTTGCAGTCTCTATGAATAATAGACCCTAAATCTTTGAAGTTCAATCTTTGTTATCTCTTGATCTTCTATTTTTATTCTACGCTTTCACATATACATTTTTAAAAAATCTATTATTGACAAATGTCTAAGCTGCCATTTAAGTTCCGCATTTAGATTTTACATGACAATTGCTTACTTCCTGTTGTACTACTTCAGAAAATAAAGTACACCCATTTGTGGTCATATTGTGGCTGGCTAAAATGAAGACCTTCCCTCTACCCCTCCCCATTTTTCATTTCTAAATTTTCAGTTCAAAGAATCACTACGCAAGAAATTTTTTGTAAATAAAATCTACCATTTTGTGATTGTTGGGTTTTGATTATTATGTGAGTCTCATCTCATTGCCCTGCTTCCTTTGAGTTTCACTTGAGTTCTGTTGTGATGAAACAGTCACGATCTATACGAGATTTTGACACCCATGCCACCTGCCTTGTTGGAAAGTATGAGGTAATAGGATCTGATCTCTCTCACCCTCTCTACCACCCCAGCTCTCTTTCTCTCATGTTTTCTACTAATTGATGTATCATTCTTTATCTTCATGACTGTGGATACGTACTACAGGCATTGTAGTAGTTCTTCTTTTGTGGGAAATGTGTCAGTGCCATTACTCTGTGTAAGTGCTTTGGATGATCCAGTTTGTACTAGGGAAGCCATTCCTTGGGATGAATGCAGGTGGAACTGATCTACTTATGGCAATTGACACTTGCCCAATTGATCTCTTTCCATCATCTTCATCTTTTGATGCCACCATTTGGCATCCAATCTGATACTTCTTTTCCATTACAGAGCAAATAAAAATATTATCCTGGCTACCACACAGCATGGGGGAAATCTGGCCTTCTTTGAAGGCATAACAGGATCTGGCCTCTGGTATTTTGTACTTCCTTCCCCTGTTTATCTTTACCTCGGTCCGAATGATAGCAGTTGTGACACCGATAACATTTTCCAGCACTTAATATTAGAAAGAGAACTTTGTTTACTTGGTTTTCCAACAAAAATCCTACTCCATCTTTTTGAACCCATATTTTACGTTGTCATTAACTCAGTAGAATCTGTCTTCTCCTTTATGCCATTGTTTCAGCCATTCACAGACCAGCTAACCTTGTGACGATATTGTTCAATATGCAGATTCCTTGACTTGTCCTTCCTTGCAGGTGGGTGAGAGCAGTTAATGAGTTTCTTGGTGTCCTATATTCTAGTCCCTTTAGGCATCAAGAAACAAAGGTTCAAATCATGCTCATTATCCTTATTCTTGATGTTTAGAAGGTAAAGAATGGCACAGGAAATTTTAAGGAAGTTTTGATTCTTGAAGGTGTAGTTGGGGTCAACCACAATTTCCCAAGTAGGAGATAGAATCTCATTATAAGAGTGCAACTGACCAGAACACCCCTCTTGTCTGAGGAAGACATAATAACCATAGTAAGTGCAAAATAGATAAAAAAAAAGTTAAACATCGTAATAACTAGGCTACAACTCCAAAATGGTTAATGTCAGTTTGTGAGAGTTTCAAAACCAAGCCTCTGAAATATCCTAATAGCTCAAAAATAAGCCGCAGGGAATACCAAGAATCTTTCTTTGACGATTTGTTTTTCCATTTTCCCACATGCATACTTTCTGTTCTATTTCTGCAGACACAGAATCATGGCCCACTTGGAGTCTTCAATTGATCAGGGCCCATATCTCAATGTCGCAGATGGAATGGTGGCTGCAATGTGCAATGAGCTAACTCAAGATCGAGTAGAAGAATCATCCGAACAGCCGAAAATTCAGGATGGAAGGACTAATGGAGTGGTTTTAGATGCAGAACAAGGCGATGCCACAAGTGAAACAAAATCTGACTGTGCACCCAGCCATTCTGAAACCTCCAAACAAACGGAAAACATCAAGGGTGTCAAGTCTTTTGATGTTACCATAATTAGAAGATCATTAGATCAGGTTTGTCGACAAAGTAGTTGATCAGTGTGGTTGCTTGCTTATATTGCCATAATCTCCAGTTGGCCATTGGCAGGTTCATTTCATCTTCCGAAAGAAGTTCAAAAAAGTCTTACCCGCAAAATAAAAAAAAATGAAAGATTTACATGCTAGTAAATAATTGCCATAAACTGTACCTGTAACATGGGTCTGCCATTTTGAATATGTTGCTTTCACCTAGATGAACATCTTTGTAAACTTTCTAGTAACTTTGAACCGTACTGTACAAGATGCATGTGGCTCTTTAATGCTCATCTTGTAGGTACTTGTTTTTAAAAGTGACAAGTGGATGATAAACTGAAGGTGGCGAAGTTGAATGAGTTAAGAGGTGATCCTAATTATCTTCTGGTTCATCTCTCCACAAATATGTTCTCTTAAGTCTGACTTTACAATGACAAATCTAGATGTGAGGTACATGGTACATGTTTTTGCTGGGTCAACAATCAGTTTTGGGCTAGTCTGGTTCTTTGAAGTATATGGTTGGAATCAAGGATGAAATTTTTGTTTTGTTTCTACCGAAGTGAATCAATAATTGAAGCTTTTGTTTGGGTAAAAAATGGTCAAGAAGTCGGATGATAAAAATAAAAGCTTGTATCGGTTGACCTTAAAAAAAAAAAACAAACTTGGCAAATTTATTTATCTTCCAACCCCTAAAGGGATATTCATAGCTGGCCGTTGAAGTAGATTTTGAAAAAACCAATAGAATTAGTTACTATTCATATGAGAACTTTAAGCTTATGAGAGGGGGAATATTTCTTATTGAAGACAGGTTTTTTACATCAACTACCAAGGCTTTGAGTCACTGCCTAAGCAAATTTTTTTTCCCTCGTCCGAATTGTAATTTGGTTTAGTGATTGTCTATAAATTCTGGAAAGCCATCTCTTATATTACTCATTCTCATCTGTGCTTTGTTTGAAGTCCTATTGATGATTAGTAAACCATGGTGCTGGTTAGAGGAATTAGTATTTGAAAAATTGGCAGAACCAACCTTTTTTTCTTTGGAATTCTTTGAGAATTTTTGGGCACAAATGTATGACAGAGGTGAATATGAAAAATCTAGCTAGGGCAATTAGAGCACGATTATTCGAATTTGTAGGGAGAAATTCTCTGTTGGATTTTACCTTTAAAATTGGACAACGTTAAAAATAAATATTTCAACAAAAAATATGTTATATGGGCAAGAATTATGTGGTGCGACTTGATATGTTGTTCTCTAATTATGTCATTTCACACACAAAACAACGTCATTTGAGAGAATAACACTTTTGTGAACAGTAGAGGAACTTTACCCCTTTTTTTTTTTTTTTTTTGAATCAAAAACTTTACCCCTCGTTGAATAAGATTGTTTTGCATGTGAAACAACATTGTCCAATGGAACTGCACAGCTATCGATTTTTTTTCCTATCACTTGTTGGTGCCCATCCTTCATCACCCCTAGGGTTCAATAAATTATTAAAAGATGAGATCAATTCAGAAGCACTTTATATTTAATATTTTATAAAACGGCAAGTCTCACTTTGCATCTTGAAAGATACATCTTTTCTCACTTTACACCCTAAAAGATTAATTGTTTCACATTGCATCCTCAATATAACATACTTGTTGCAATGTGCACCAGTCGTCATATTCTGTTTTTATTTCTGTCAACTCCCACGTGCATGTGAGAAGCACATGCTCCCTCTAGACAAAATAGTAAAAACACCACCTCAGACCCCACTCTTTGCTTGCCCTAGACCTGTCTCAATTTTGCCCTACAATTGATTCATAGAGAAGACCAAGGAACAAAGAAGAAGAAGAAGAGCATAAGACAAAGTTGAAACTCCTCTTTCTATTTGACATCATCAATCCATAATTTAACAGCCAAAAAGAAAGAAAATAGGTTCTAATCCTATCCACCAAGAACAAGATCAATTTGATCGATTAACAGATGTTATTGTTCTTCCAATTTTCAACAAATTACAGGATGAAAATTCCTATTGTCTATACATTTTACTCTGTAAGCGTTTGGGTTCCATCGTCTCCGAACCCAAACCATTTCCATCACAATTTCTCACAAAAATTCTATACTCATCAACAACAAAAATATCAAACAATCCCATGATTATCAGAATTCAAGATCAAACCCTCCTAGCCAGAGGGGTTTTTTCAATAGTACTTTCAACTGGATCGCCATAAAACCACTGCAACTCCTTCTTCAAATCATCAAAGTCAAGTCCTCATCACATTCACTCCATGCAAAAGGTAATTATTAGGATTTCTACTATTCCCCAAATGAAGTTTTGAGTAGTTTCAAGGAGATTCGATCTCTAAAAATTGAGCTACCTAGCCATGGTGGTGAACTTGGATCAAACAGCATAAACAAAGGCTTCCTCTTCTGGTTTTTTAGGGCAAAAGGTGGGGCCTAAGGTGGTGTTTTACTATTTTGTCAAATGGTGAACACACACTTCTCACATGCGGGTGGGAGTTGACAGAAATAGAAACGGAATTTGATGAGAGATGCACATTGCAACAAGTATATTAGATTGAAGGTGCAATATGACCCAATTAATCTTTTAGGGTGCAAAGTGAGAAAATATGTATCTTTCAAAGTATAAAATGGGATTTGACCTTTATAAATACCCTGAGGGATGGAATTGCAACTCTTTCAAGCACCAACTCTTTTTTTTTTTTTTTTCATTTCTTTGAAGATTACCCATCCTAGAGAAGGTTATATGTTGCTTGCATTAAAGTAAAATGAGGATACTTCTACCACCAACTCCTAGGACTTGTTCGGATGGATTTTTGGGAAGGGTTTGAATTGTCTTCCCCAAACTCAAACCCCTCTTTACAAATATGAGTTTTAACATTAAATCCAGTTCATACCCATATTTAGTATGCCCACAGATATATCATTGTTATGATAATATATGTGTATATAAATGACTATTATGTCCCTTCACCAATTTAATTCAAACCCAAGTTTGTATACGTATGAGGTATAATTGTTATTTTGTATCTTGAATCCGTTAACCCTCATCCAAAACCGACTCCCATGAGTTTGATGAAACGCATGATCTAGGGTTTAAAGTCCGGACCAATAGCGGGTCGGGTTTGGTAACCCAAATTTCAAATTTTTTGTCAAACATAAATTTTGTGTGTTATTTAAATTATTTTTCTCTGACCCATCTTCCAAAGCCCCCAATCCCACTTACCAAACAGCCCCCTTTAGTCAGTGTACTTCCAACACATTGCCTTTGCTTTGCTCACGTTGCTGGGTAAAGCCAATTCATAGTAAATAGCCGACTTTTTGATGCCTTTTGTGATGATCATTGTGGGTTAGATACTAAGCATATTGCTTTCGGCTAATCCAAAACTTCAATTGAAACCTACAAACCGAATCCAATCCGATTATTCAATGGATATTAATTTGTCTATATCCAAATTCGTCAAAAATTAAATATATCCAACACGAGAATCCTATTCGATTCAAAATTCAAATAAAGTAAAATGTTAACAATTTACATCTTAATTTCTTCAATTTAACCAATCAACCTTTGTATATATATAAAGAAGCACATATTTACATAATTCGGATGTAGATCAGAATAATCAGTCATAGATATCGATTTGTATCTGACAAATTAGATTTAAATTTAGGTTGTGTCAAATCAATTCCGATTTACTGACATACCTATCCCAAACCGGTAGATTGGGATTTTTAATGTAATGCATACCAAATAAAGGTAACAATTAATTTGTGCTTCGTTTCAAGGTTTCTTCCAGCAACACTTGAAGTAACTAATCTCATTTTAACCAAGGTGGACTATATAAAGGTTCCATTTAACTACCAAGTTAAGTTATATGAAAGATGAGGATATGCGGATTTATTGGAAGAAATGAAATAAGTGACGATAACAAATACACGAATTTCTCGGATTTTCTCTTCAACACATAATGCGTAAATTCCTCGATTATGATCAAGACCCACCCATGAGAAACAAAAGAGAAATGACATGGTAGACCAGCAAACTTGTCTTTATTCGTTATCGTACGATTTTTTTCATTTTTATTTTCCATAGCAACCAAAGGGAAAAAAAAACTATTTTCTTTTGCTCTTTTCCTTTGCTCTTTTCTTTTACTCATAGATTCCCCTATCCAAGAAAATAAAAAAAAACAAACCCATGATTCCCTGAACTTGCATTCACATAGTCACAGACACAAAGTCAGAGACCATCAATTACTAATCCTGCCAAAAACATGACGAAAAAAGTTTCATTATCCAAGACAAATAGTACATTCTCTTTGTATTGTTATATAACATTAAAAAAAAAAAAACCCCACAATTTGAACGGCAATGGAATCAACCACCAAACTTTTTTGCCAAGAAACCAAACCGACCCTCAAGGTTACGACGAAGATGATGCCTTCTACATGGTAGGCCTGCTCATCTATGTCGTACCATTAATTTAAAACGAAGTTTTTTCGTATGAAAATGACTTCTTTATCATAAGAATCAAAACATAGAGACAAACACGACATCCTTCTCGTACCAAAACCATGTAGAAGGATAGAACTTTCTTTTAGCCGATTCCGAAAACAGTATCTGGCTGTTGTGAAAAGGTGGCATGATCCCTTGTTCTGGATAGAAGAATATGCGTACGATAGAGAGCAAGAAAAAACTAAAACAAGAGCCTCAACCTTCATCCATTTTCTTGGTCCCTACTCATGTTTTTACTTTGTAGATGGTGCCATTGCACTTCAAAATAGAAGTATTAGTCTTGGTTATTTCTCTTGTATGTAAGTCACTTTGTAAAAATTATAATCAAAGATGTTTTTTTTTTTATTTTGATTAAAGTTGCTTTCTTTTTTTTTTGGCTTAAAGAGCACTTAAAAAAAGAGAACACATACAACACGTGCATTAGTGAGCTAATTAAAGTGAAGAAGAACGATTGAGCCATTTATTTGCCAAGAACTTCAAGTGTGGATTTTGTGTGATTTATAGAATCTAGTGTAAAATTATAGATCATCAAGATCTTACAATACCCTTGGAGTATTTTACGCATTATGTTCATTTTCATAATACTTCATAGAAAACTATGTCACTAGAAAAACTGAGATATTCTCTTTCATTATGTTCCAAATTTGTTTGCATTTGTTTGTGTTGGTAATGATTTTTAGCTTTGTTTTAGGCATATTTTGCATTAATCTCACAAACTTGAAAGGATATTTACAAAATCTTGAGAATTTTGTAAAATGCAATCAATTTTTTGATATTGACAAAATAGATTTATTTTCGGAACTAAAAATCTAATAATAGTTTTAGAGACAATTAAATGGAAAATTTAAACT